AACGCTCTGCCAGTTGCGCCCACTGGGAATACTGGTTGCAGTGCTCATGTCAGGGTTCCAGCAATCACCCTAATTAAATCATGATTCTTGAGCCAAACTTCAAAAAAACTTCAAAGGGTTCATTAGAGGCAACATCCTGGCCTTGCCCTGTATATGAAGCCAACTCTGGCCTGCGTCATTCACAGTCCCCTGTTTCCCCCCTTCCCCACCCCCGGATGGTGTCATAAATCACGTTCTCCAATTCAATATATTCCCGGGCAAAAGCTACGGTAGTTTAGCTACAATCTTTTAAAGATAAAGAGTTGGAATGTACCTCCGCTTCCAAACTGCTGCAGCTGCTCTTCCAGATTGCCTTCCTCCCCCCCCTTTTTTTTTATGGCAACGACTAAAACAGGCCTAGGAATGTTTGATGAGTTGACAGCAACTTTGAACGGTCACTAAACAAATGGTCGTAAATCAAGGACTGCCATGTCTCTGGAGTTGGTGGGGGGGGGATTTGTGGCCAAGGCTGCCAAGCCACAGGATGGCGGGGAGGGGCCCGTCTGGCTCAGGGCAGAGAGGCCACTTTGGCTGTGCATCCTCCAAGCTGGGGCCCAGGGACCGCGGAGTACCGGGCCCCTTGATGGGAGGAGCCCGGCCCTGCGTCTCTGGGCACCTGGCCGCCTCTTAGCCCCCTTCTCTCTCCCCAGTGCCCCAAAGTCTCCCTGGGCCGCCACCTGGAGGAGAACACCAAGCTGCACCTGGGTCTGATGGGGGCGCTGGTGGCCCGGCAGCGCCAGGAGCTGGTGGATCTGCGCCGCGAGGTGGAGGAGCTGGCGGTGGGCAGCGAGGGCGTGCTGATCTGGAAGATCGCCGACTACGGGCGGAAGCTGCAGGAGGCCCGCCTGCGGAGCAACTACGAGTCCTTCAGCCCCCCCTTCTACACCCACCGCTACGGCTACCGGCTCCAGGTCTCGGTCTTCCTGAACGGCAACGGGAGCGGCGAGGGCAGCCACCTCTCCGTCTACATCCGGGTGCTGCCGGGCCAGTACGACAACCTTCTGGAGTGGCCCTTCGCCTACCGGGTCACCTTCTCGCTGTTGGACCAGAGCGACCCCTCCCTCTCCAAGCCCCAGCACATCACCGAGACCTTCTTGCCGGACCCCGCCTGGAAGAACTTCCAGAAGCCCGGCACGAGGCGCACCTCCCTGGACGAGAGCCTGCTGGGCTTCGGCTACCCCAAGTTCATCTCCCACGAGGACATCAAGAAGCGCAACTACGTGCGCGACAACGCCGTGTTCATCAAGGCCTCAGTGGAGATCCCGCCCAAGATCATTTCCTGAGGGGGGGG